TTCAGTGGATAGTCTTTCAGATGTGACTATAAATATCTTCATTTGTGTTCCAAATAAAGTCTTTTTGGATCAACATGAGGGTCAATAAATGAGTGAACTAACAATTTAACATAAAACCAAAAAAATTCGAATACATTTTTCACTGTAAAAAATTGCAAAAAACGGTAAAAACTGTAAAAATGCTACAGTACAAATCTGTACTTTAACGGTATGTTTCCTTAATATATATGGCGAATAACCGTAAATTGACTTTCCCAGAATTCCCTGTATGGCACATCACTTTTTATGAATTTGGTTGACATTAATATGGATCTTTTTAGTTATTTCCCCATCAGTTATGTATATTAGAGATTAATGTTACATCTAATGTTGATAAACAATGTTTATTTTATGACTTTAATTTTATGCGTGTTACCATACTGGTGTTTAGTAGCTGTGTGAATGACACTGAGTACCTTCTATACACTGATACTCTTTTCTGCTTGTGGGAATAGTTGATTGTGATAAACTTTGGCTCATCTTGTAACTTCCTCATCACCACCTGCATGTGGGTGTGCTAACGTGTCTAACTGTGTAACGAAAGATGTGTAGATGTTGATTATTCAAAATACAGACATATTACCTCTATAAATTAATAAAATATGGTAATTTACCATAAAAATGAAAAATTACTTTTACGGTTTGTACCGTGTTTTTAACAGTAAAGTACTGGCAACCACAGCTGCCATTTTCTTACCGTAAATTTTACGGATTTATTTTTTACATTGAAAATAGTATGGGTTTTTTAAAACTGTGGATCGTGACAGTGAGGAAAGGTGGGTCATGAACATCACTTAGCTGCAGCTATATTTACGTTATGGTGAATCAAAACCAGTTCGATAATGAGCGAACGACTCTCTAGAGACAATTCTGTTTTTCAAAAGAATCATTTAAGTTAAAACACATGAGCTGAAACAGTCTGAATTGACATTCATTGAATACTGAGTATGATTAATTTACTGTACGTGTCTACATCAGTAACATACAGCATTCATGACCGCAGCCACGAAGCATTTGGTAAAATGTTAAAGTTTTGCAAAAACTAAAGCTGTCGCAGACTTCTAAAATATGTCTTCAGATCAAACCAAATCTAAAAAGGAGCCACAGAAAAAATATGACCAGTCCTACCTGATCTTGATTTGATTGCTGGCGGAGGTCCAGAGGGTGAGGAAGTCCCGCAGTGTCTTTTATGCTTAGAAAGCTTGCAAGTGCTAGCAAGAAACCCTCAAAACCTAAACAGTACCTGACACAACAAAACAATCTGCATATGTCAACAAAGGTCGATCATATTCTCTTCTAAAACAGTAGAGTATCTTCGTCAACAAAAAATGGTCACAGTTACAGCCAGTATCCATTTACATTCACATTTAGCAGACGCTTTTATCCAAATCGACTTACAAATGAGGACAGGGAAGCAATTTACACAACTATAAGAGCAACAATGAGTAAGTGCTGTAGGCAAGATTCAGGTATGTAAAGACAGTGTAAGAAGCAAAACATTAGTATTTTTTTTTTTTTTAAGTTAGTGGAGGAGTCAGAGAGGGAATTGCATATTAGTAAGGTTTTTAGTAGTTTTTAGTGTCTTTTTGAAGACAGCGAGTGACTCTGCCGTTCTTATGCAGCTAGGGAGTTCATTCCACCAACCGGGCAGATTGAGCGTGAGCGTTCGGGAAAGTGTTTTCTTCCCTCTTTGGGATGGAACCACGAGGCGACGTTCATTCACAGAACGCAAGCTTCTGGAGGGCACATAAATCTGCAAAAGTGAGAGCAGATAAGAAGGAGCAAAGCCAGAAGTTGCTTTGTAAGCAAACATTAGAGCTTTGAATTTGATACAAGCAGCAACTGGCAGCCAGTGCAAACGAACGAGTAGCGGAGTGACATGTGCTCTTTTAGGTTCATTCAAGACCACTCGTGCTGGTGTATTCTGAAGCAGCTGAAGAGATTTGATAGTTATCATAAAAAAAACATATCCCATAAAAAACACTTTGAGCCTCTTTTTTTTTTTTTTTTTTGCATATCAAATCGCAAAATTCTCCATAGAAGGTGAGCTTCTACTGCTGGCCTGCAAAGACATCTGTAAGGAAATGCTGGGTAAAGATGCTACAGTAAAGATAGCTAAAGTTTCACTTTCTGATGATACAGTACAACGGCGTACTGTACAAATGTCTTAAGATATACGCGAACAAACAAGTGAAAAAATTTGCAGTAGTGCTGCATTTGCTTTACAACTTGACGAAAGCAAAGATGTTGCTAAAAGTGAACAGTTGCTGGCTTATGTCAGGTATATTGACTCCACTGGCATAGTTGAGGATTTTTTATTTTGTGAAGAACGTAAGGAACGAATGACTGGAAGTGATATTTTGCTTTAAATACATTTTTTACCCATTTTTCCATATTCAAATATTACGGTGGGTCTTGAAATTGAACTACTTGCCTAGGTCCGTCCCGGAATAAAAAAGGTTGGGAACCCCTATGCTAGAGTGTAAAACAATATCTGTTAACTGAGATCATGATTCACAAGTGTTTTCCCATACATTGATGCATTTAAATTGTAATAACAGAAAAACTGTTTTCTAGCTCAATAACTCAATCCAGACAAAAAAATCGATATTCAAACTACCAAAAAAGTCACTCTCTCAATCAATAGACTGTTCCTAAATTAAAAAGTAGCAGAAGTAAAGATCAAGATCCTAATATGCCATTATTCACAAGCATAAACAGAAAAAAAGTTGTGCTTCATAAAATGCTTTTTTTTTTTTTAGACTAAAAGTGGCAATAAATCTAAATTCACTGTATAGTCTGACTTTGGAGTTTTTTTGCCACTATGTAAAACATGTCTTCAATCATATATTGCAACTTTTAAAAAAATGTGAGACATCTGAAGATGGGGAGTTGTGTGTCAGGTGAAAGTGATTTACTGTATCTGTGCAATTTATGGTTGCAAACTGTATAGTAATGTACATTGCTAACAGAAATACCATACAGCACAACGTTTTGTTGTGCATTAGAAAACAAGCACAGCTAGTGGTTTTAGAGTACATTTATTTGCACTTTTTTTACACAAAATTTGACATAAATGCAACATACAAAACTCTGTAACTCATCCAGGAGTATCCACTTATGCTAAATGACTATATTATTAAATATCTGGGGGTTGCAAATTTGAGGTTTATAAAAGGATTATTGTACTTATTCTCGAAATTATTTACAAAATGATTTTTTTGTTTTTGTTTTACAAAAATGAATAGCTGAAATAAGGAAATGTACAGTTTAAGTCAGAATGATTAGCCCCCCTTTTATTTTTTATTTATTTAAAAAAATATATATATATATTCCTAAATGATGTTTAACAGAGCAAGGAACTTTTCACAGTATATCTGATAATATTTTTTCTTCTGAAGAAAGTCTTATTTGTTTTATTTCGGCTAGAATAAAACCAGTTTTTAATTTTTTTAAAAACCCATTTTAAGGTCAAAATTATTTGCCCTTTAAGCTATATGTTTTTATGATAGTCTACAGAACAAACCATTGCTATACAACAACTCCAATTACCCTAACCTACCTATTTAACCTAATTAACCCAGTTAAGCCTTTAAATGTCACCTTAAGCTGTATAGAAGTGTGTTGAAAATTAACAAGTAAAATATTATTTACTGTCATCATAGCAAAGATAAAATAAATCAGTTATTAGAGATGAGTTATTAAAACTATTATGTTTAGAAATGTGTTGAAAAAATATTACCTCAGTTAAACAGAAAATAGGGAAAAAAATAAACAGGGGGCTAATAATTCAGGGGGCTAATCATTCTGATTTTAACTTTACATAACATTTAAAAATCCCATTCTCCCAAAAACAGTGGGAATACTGTTGAATGATATTAATACATTTTCTTATTTGCAATTCTTAAATGTAAGAATAAAAACATTCTTCATAAAGCTGTGTAGACTCATTAAGGGTAGGCTTTATGTTCTTTTAAGATCTTTAACTGTACCCTTGTTTACATAAGTGATGCTTTGGGAACTATAAGCATAAACATAAGACATGCAAGTCCTCCAATTCCTTTTTAAAGGTAAAAAAATATGTCCAGCACTCAAAAAAAAAAAAAAAAAAGATGTTTTGTTGCTTGTTGAAACTAATTATTTAAAATGAGTTTAAACAACACAATTCTCAATATTTTTAAGGGTACAGATTAACTATTTTATGTTTAATCCACTTAAATTTGTAAAAGGGTCATTCCTGGCATTCCTTAATATTTCAGCTTGAGCAAACTCATTTTTAAAAGTGTATTGATTATATATCTTTAAATAGCCTACATAATTAGGCACAATTTAAACTTTCAAATAATTATATTTTTCTACCTCAGGCGTTAAAGCCTTTGTATTATTTTCTGTTTTATTCTTATTTGGACACCTATTATTCTCAACCCCGTAACAGACAAAACTGAGTTGTTAATAATAGTATTTAACAAAGCTTTTGCTATAAAACCCACATTTACCTATTGCTTATATGTCCCTCAAATCAGTTTAGTGCCTAAAATATAACATTTTTGATACGTTTTAGATTTATATGTGATTTAAGTATTCTGTGGTCTCTTAAAACCAATGTTTTTCTTTGTTAGTTTTTTTTTATTCATTACAATGTACAAAGTAAATCAATGAAAAATGCTTTTAAAATGTAATTTTAGTCAACAACAACTTAAAAAAATACGGGGGACTGAAATATTACCGAATGCCAGGAATGACCCAAAAACGATTAAGTTAACTTAATCAATTTGTGTTGGAACAGCATGAAGGAATTGTCTGGAACCCAGTATTTTTTACAGTGAATCCTTGACTTAGTTTTACACCTCATATAAATCAAAGGACAAAAAAAATATTAATAATAAAAAAAAAATGGTGCACTTTGTTATTCTCCAGACGCAATTAAAAAAAAAAAAAAAAGAATATGCAAACCTACATGTTCACTGGCCAACAAAGTGAATATTGTAAGTCAGCTGATGGCCATTGTCCCACGCATACAGCACTTTATCTTTGGGATTGTAGTCCACTTGGGTCACAAATGCATACTCATTTGTGAAAGGCAAACGCGGTGTGGCCTCGGTGTTCGTGTGCGTATCGTAGGCGTACAAAACCTCGCCTTCTTTCTGATTGTAGACGTCAATGGCATACAGGACGCCGCACACGATGAAGCAGTTTCCGTAGGAGTTGCGCTTCAGTCCAGTCCTCCATGTTGTCTCCTTCTTTATGGAAAGGTCACTCGGGTCCAGCTTGCTGATGACGATGACTTCGTGTTGAGAGTAGTCGTAATCCAGCGCTGGGTAAATCACCCAGAGTCCGCTCTCGTCCACAGCAAAATCGATGTCTGAGTGACCTCGCCATTTCCAAGGCGTCGTATCCTCGTAGACGGCATCGTGAAGCTGGGTCCAAGCTGCCACGTAGCGCATGCGCAGGTCATATTTGATGATGTTTTTGGTGAAGGCTCTGTTGTAGTAGAAGGCTCCATTGTAGACCACGTGGCCGGTTCCGATCCAGTTGTAGGGAAGTTTGTAGAGGTTACTCCAGCGACCTGTTATTGATGAGATATTCTGATTATAGTTTATGATTCAATTTGATATGCTTTATTATGCCACTCATTTCTACTGAGCTGTACAAAAAATGCAGTTTTCATCTGGTTTCCAGTTGAAATATCTAAAAAAACAACATTCATTTAAGAAGACCTACTATGCCCCCTTTTTATAATATGTAAGTCTCAGATGTCCCTAGAGTGTGTATGTGAAGTTTCCGCTCAAAATACCCCACAAATAATGTTTGAAAACTGGCTTTGATCCAAATTGTGGCATTTTGGCAACTGATGCTTTAAATTCAAATGAGATTCTGTTTTTATTTTTTAAAGAGGGTGGAGCTACAAACTCTGTAAACTGTGAAAAGAAGTGCCTCAGAAAAAAGCATTGTATGGAGATTACAGTGTTCATTTGTGGATCCTAAAACTCCACATTTATAATGCGTCTTATTTGCCGACATTAACTTCAGCAGGTGTAAACTCTAATGGCGGATGCTTCTCACTCAGGGCTATTATGTTATTATGCTAATTATGGAGAGATTGAAGGATTTCTACCTTCCTACCTTCCAGCATGGATCAACTTTTATCCGTTTCTCATCATCCTGTTTCCCATAACTTTTATTAAATATGATTATTTGATTATTTAAATGAGTATTTAACTTTGAAATGATTTTAACTAATGAATAAGTTAACATGCTTTATGTAAAAGTGTTCAGTGCATTTGCCTGTCTCTTTGTAACTATATTCAAGAGCCACCAAACTAGGTCAGAGGTCACGGAGATATTATAACTGCCTGAATGTAGATCATACCGGTTTTTAACCAGTTTTGATAAAGATGGCAGAGAATACACTCAGGCTTGGGTAAGAAACAGATAGTACTTTAAGTGTGTGTGTGTTCTATTTGATTGTTGACCCGTTTCACAGGTCTGGGGGTCAGCTTTAAACAGTCTATTGGATGTCTGACATTAATATGCTTAAGATATTGTTCAGAATTGTACGCACACCAGGGAGAACATGCAAACTCCTCACAGAGAAACGCCAACTGAGCCGAGGTTCGAACCAGCAACCTTCTTGCTGTGAGGCGACAGCACTTCCTACTGCGCCACTGCCTCGCCTCTTCAGTAAACTTTATTTATTTATTTATTTATTTGAACCTCTGACTCCGGCTCTTTTTCATCTGACAGCCTGGTTATTCTTTGGGTTAAAACTGTAAATAATCACTACAAGATCATAACTAATGGGTCATAACTAACTAACTCGTTGCTTTCCTTCTCTAATGACACGCACAAATGGAGAATGTTAAAGTGTTTCATTAGACTGTTTTTATCAAGTGTGATTATAAAAAATATAATTAATACATTTTTACCATTAGAGGCTGGTTATATTCACACAATGTTGTGTTTAAACCTCTTATAAAAGTGATTTTTGCATAATAGGTCCCCTTTAAGTCAGTTGTTTTCCATAAAACAAGCAAAATAATCTTGTTTTTGCTTTGAAATAAGATTATTTAGCTAATCGTAAATCAATATGGCTCTTGTCTTAGAGAAAATATGAATGTATACATGTTTATACCCATGTCATACACATGTTTTTGACAACCAAAACTACAATGGTGGATTACAGGACCATAAATATTCTGGTGTACAGTTCTTCTTTACAAAGTGATCACTGACTACTGGACTGTGATGTTACATTTCTTCACCTTTTAATTATAAGGTTCTATCTGCGTTCTGAATGATTTTGAGATAATGAGCTTTAAAGTTTTTGCATTCCATAGCAAACAGTATGTGTGCAACATTTGTTTTTTAAATAAAAAGTCTTAAAATGTAAACAACTTATTTAAAAAAATGCAATAATGTAAATAAGTTGTCAATTAATAAGTATATTTCAATAACTCACTTTTGACAAAAATGTCAGATAGAACCTTATCATTCTAAGTTGACGATTTGTGATATTATACTGTGAAATTTAATCCATCCAAGTTATTCCACTGAAAAAAAAAAAGTGATTTGGTAGTCTTCATGTTTTGTCAATCAGTTAGGAGTGCATCCTTCTCTGATGACATTAATTCGATGGCTTCAGACACAATATTCTTAACCACACCCTTCTTAATGTTAGTTTGCTATGAGGGATTGATGTGCAAATCGAAAGCCATGGCCCCATACTCAGTATTCTATTGCAATTGGAAGTCAATCAATACATCAATATACAAAAATAATAGACTGAACAACTTGTTTTTCTTGGATTTTAAATGTACCCTTGAATGATGTAGGTCTTGATATATGTATAGATATCTGTTTTTAATAGTTTTCCTCATGGTTTCTTTATGATTTGATTGACAAATTTAAGCCATTTGAAGGCTAATTGTGCAGTGAAATTTTGGTGTTTCAGTGTGTCCTAAACTGGTTTGCACAATGAGGGAAAATAAGTGCTGAACTACCATGCAATGATAAAATGACTTGATTTTTTATTTACCTTGTTTGAAATTCTCCAGGTTGCGAAACTCTACTAGGTTATTGCCATAGTAGTAGTTTGTGACATAGATCTTGTTGTCTTTGGCCATTGGGTCTTTCATCCAGGCTCCTTCATTGCGCCCGTAACTGTGATGCTTCTCTGGCATCTCTACTGAAGCCAGTGTCCCCTCACAGTCTGGAGATTTACCTACAGAAAAAAAAAAATATATATTACTTTACATATTAAATGTACAAACCTATGTAAAAAATGTTTTTTTCCAGTTTAATTTTTTTTTACATAATGCTAGTATTTGATTGATTGATTGATTGATTGATTGACTGACTGACTGACTGACTGATTGATTGATTGATTGAACACAGTATTTTGATGGTCTATTTGAGTATTAGTAGACTGTCTGCTTAATATCTGGTGATACTGCTCCTTCAACAGACATTTAACTGACTATAAGAAACTTTGTAAGTACATATCAATTTACCTAACCCCAAACTAACAGTCTACTTATAATCTAATGAGAAATAGTTGGCATCTAAAATCTGAAATATTTTGGTACAATTAAAAATATCTTTATTAAACCTTAAAAAAGTTAATATAAATATTATTCAAATATTATTGGTAATGTTATTTATTTATTTTTTTATCAAGGCAGAATTATCAGCTTTATTACTCCAGCATTCAGTAATATTTTGTCACTCTAAATATGCTTCTCAACAAACATTATTGTTTTTATAATTACCGTAAAAACTGTGCTGCTTAATATTTATCTTCAAGATTGTTTGATTAAAAGGAAGTTTAAAATTACAGTATTTAATTTTTTTTTTTAAACAATTCTTAAAAATTATTTTAATTTATAAATTTTTTAGGGTTGTGTTGACCATTCTGCATTAGTTCTATTTTCACATTAAACCCTAAATATTAATATTATACAATTCACAATAGGTTTTATTAGTTAGTTAATAGATGTTATTTAATATATTTACTAACATGAACTAATAATGAACAGTATTTGTATAACATTTATTATTCATAGCTAAACATTTACTAATTATTATGAAAATAAAACTCATACTTAAGTAAATGAGTTAAAAAAACGAACAATGAACAGCTTTATTTTCATGAATTAATGTTAGCAAGGATCAATAAATACTGTAACAAATCTAAAATTCATTATTTCTGTCAGTAACATTAACTAAGAGTAACTAATACGACATAATTTAAGGTTTTACCCTATTTGCATACATATTTTTATTATTAATAATGTATTATTATTGAATATGAATACTATAGAAATGTATATGTAATAAAAATATGTGCATAAACATAAACTAATAATGAACAGTATTTTTACAACATTTATTAATCATAGCTAAACATTTACTAATACATTATTAAAATTGTGAGCTAACAAATGAACAATGAACAGCTTTATTTACAATAGTTATTGTTAGCAACAATGAAAATACTGTAATCTAATATTCATTCTTTATTTTAGTAAATAAATACATGAACTAACATTAACTAACACAACCTTATGATAAAAAGGTTTCCCTATTTACATACATATTATTTTATTATTGAAAATGTATTATTATTGAATATTAATATTATAGAAATGAATATATAATTAAAACGTAGACAGAATAATTCAAACCTGCTTTGTGCAAGTGTGTTTTTCCTCCAGTGCCTATTGGTTTCACTGGTCCTGGAGTTGACTGTGTTGAGTTCATGACGGGCACTTCGCTGGTGGTTGCTAGTGTTGTGCTTGTTGTTGTGACAGCCACAAGCGTAGTGGTGGTTGTTATTGGCAGCACAGTCGACGATATTTCAGAGGTTTCCAAAACTAGCTCGGAGCCCTTTTTGTCCTCAGCCTGGTGGCCAGTGTGGGTCTTGGCTTGGTTTTCTGAAAACAGAGAAAGAGGGTTTGAAAGGCAGATCACGACTCTTGGCCTAAAGCTTCACCCCAAGCATTCGAGATTCCTCACATCAAAGAATTATTAATGGGATGTTGCGCTCGGAGAAACTTCCTGCATTGTAACCCAGTCTCTGCCTGCAATGCTTGGATTCAAAATTCCTACGCTTGAGCCCATTTCATCTCATGCCATGTACAACAGATCTCCGTAAGACAATGTCAGTGGAGAGACCCTAATCTGAGCCTTTTCTTCCTGCTCTGTGGGAGCGTCTGGAACATTAAACATGTGGGCGAGAGACATAAGTACATCAGATATTAATCTGTCATTCGAGGACACAGGGACTGTTACTGTAATCGTTTTGGACGCCTCAGCAAACATTTGCCCCGCGTGTCACTGTTTCATATTTGATTCTGGACTGAAATGGAAATGGTTTCATCCCTGAGGAGTGTTTTGCTGATGAAATGAAGAAATACAGAACAAAGTTTCACTAAAATAATATTGTTTTCTCAAGAGATACATTTTTGAATGCAGAGCAACAGCTTCACAGCAGATTTCAAAGTAAAAATGATAATGTTGTGCTGGACTGATAACAGAAATCATGTGGTTCTGTCTATTGAGAGCCAGCAGTGCATTGGTCAGACAAATTTCATGCCACGGTGCATGCTGGGAGTCATAGATTATATGATTCTCCCAACATTCACTGTTGCAAGATATTTGTCACCATTGCTGAGATTCAGCTGTGTCCATAATGTCTGTGTTGCCTGTCGAGGTGGTAATCCACAAACTTGGTGGTGGACACTAGAAGTAAGGGATGCAGTGAGGCTAAAGATGAAGTCCTACAGGGCTTGATTGTCTTGCAAGACTCCTGATGCAGGTGATGGGTACCGGCAAGCAAACACTCGGGCCTAGAAAGGGTTTGGGAAGACCATGGAGGAAGACTGGTTGGCCCCAAAGAGGTTCTGGCAAACTCAGGAGGGGATAACAGCTCCACTCTGTTTACAACAGAAATGGGTAGCTGTTGACCTCGACTGGGGATGTTTTCAGACGGTGAAAGCAATACTCCTGAATCTCATTAACCCCTACAATATTTTTTTCATAGAGAAAGCAGAGACTGGGGATACAGGGGTGGACTCACCCATCACCCAAGCTGAGGTCACTGGGGTAATTTGCAAGCTCCACAGTGGGTAAGCAGCGGGGGTGGATGAGATTCATACTGTTTATCTGGATATTGTGGGGCCTTGGCTGACACGTCTCTACAACATTGCATGGAGGTTGGGGACAGTACCTCTGGAATGGGCAACTGGGGTGGTGATTTCCATTTATAAGAAGGGGGGCCGAGGGTGTGCTCCAACTATAGGGGGATCACACTCCTCAGCTTCCCTGGGAAAGTCTATGCCAGGGTACTGGAGAGAAGGATCTGGCCGATGACTGAACCTTGGATCCAGGAGGAACAATGCAGTTTTCGTCCAGACTGTGGTACACTGGACTAGCTCTATATCTTCACTGAGGTGCTCGAGAGTTCATAGGAGTAGGCCCAATCAGTCCACATGTGTTTTGTGGGCTTGGAGAAAGCACTGACCGTGTCCTTCATGGCATTCTGTGGAGGGTGCTCTGGAAGTATGGGGTCAGAGGTGCTCTAGCTATCTCGTCCCTGTATAAACAGAGTTGGAGTTTGGTTTGAATTAAGTTTCCTTTGCAGGGTGGCAGATTGCACCCTTATAGATAGGGTGAGGAGCTCTGACACCTGGGAGGAGCTCGGAGTAAAGCCGCTGCTCCTCCACATCGAGAGAAGTCAGCTGAGATGACCTGGGCATCTGTTTCGAATGCCTACTAGACACCTACTTATGAAGTTGTTCCAGGCATGTCCCACTGGGAGGAGGCCTCGGGGAAGATCCAAGACACACTGGAGGAACTATGTCTCTCGGCTGGCATGGGAACGCCTTGAGTTCCCCTGAAGGAGCTGGAGGAAGTGTTTAGGGAGAGGGAAGTCTGAAGTTCTCTACTAAGACTGGAGCCCCCACGACCTGGCCCCAGATAAGTGGATGAAAATGAGATGAGATGTTGAGATTTATATGCGGATTCTTGACATCTGCTTATTTTGAGAGATTCAGACATTTTTATTTGTTTCTAAAACTTGACCAATTGATGTAACCACAAAAAATTAACCTTTTACCAGTTGTGCTGTACAAATTATAAATAAACTATTCTGACAGAGTGGCCTATTTTGTCAAGTCATCAGGTAACAGAATTTGTGTAATATTTTACAGTTAATAAAGGACTATTGTAGCCATAAATGTATGCATTTTTTATAATAATTATAATAATACCTTACATTTTATATAGAGCTAATCTTGGCACTCAAAGCACTTCACACATAGGGGGGAATCTTCTCATCCACCACCAGTGTGCAGCATCCACCTGGATGACGCAACGGCAGCCATTTTGCACCAGACCGCACGCCACATACCAACTGATTGGTGGAGAGGAGGATTAGGTATGATATGGAAAGGGTTAGGAGGCCATGATGGATAGAGGCCAGTGGGCAAATTTGGCTAGGATTCTGGGATGAAACCCCTACTCTTCATTAAAGTACATCCTGGGATTTTTAACGACCACAGAGAGTCAGGACCTTGGTTTAACATCTCATCCGAAAGACGGCGCTCTTTGAGCATAGAGTCCTCCTCACCAACTGGGGCATTAGGACCCACACAGACTGCAGGTTGGGTGCCCCCTGCTGGCCTCACTAACACCACTTCCGGCAGTAACCTAACTTTCCCATGTGGTCTTCCATCCAGGTACTGACCGGGGGCAGCCCTGCTTAGCTTTAGCAGGCGACCATGCGAGAGTTGCTGAGAGCCAGCTGCTAGCTAGCAAAACATTTCTTTGCAAATCTTGACCGCAACACATTGCCAGCAAAATCCTTACTAATGACTTTTTTTAACCTTTGTTTTACATTAACATTTACTTTCGTTAAACAGTTTATAAACACCTTCCTCGGTTCTGCAGCCATGTTCCTGTTGTAGCTGGTGTTTTCAGAGACAACTCTCATACCCTTAAGTTTGTACCGTGGCCCTGAAAAGTCTGAAAAATGAGGATTGGGGTAATAACAAGGATTAAGGGGTAGAATTGGAATTCTGACTTAATGTTTTATTTCAGCTAATTTCATCTAAGGCTGTGACTGACGTCAGTTGCTGTCTTGATCCAATGTTTTAATTTTGTTATATGCAATGTCGGGTTGGGTACCAAAACCCGGTGCCATTATGAGTACCATATCAGCATAAGAATTTCAGTGCCTAATTCCGGTGCCACTGGTGCTACGACAAGAACGTAAAGCAGGTCACACACCAGAAGCACCACTTAGCAATGCGCAGCATCGCGCAATGCAGGGCCATGCATTTTAGAATGTGCAAGATGTCGGCTGTCTGCGGTGACCAACTCAGGACACTGTTCATATTTCTGCCACCCCACAGAGCACCATCTGAATAGTTTCATTTTAAATAACATCCGAATGTAAGCATCTGGTGTGTGATACTTTCAACTGTCAAGTGCGCGCCGTGCTGCGGCTCTGAGCGGTGCATCCGGTGTGTGACGCCCTTAAAAAGCATGAAGTGGTGCATCAAAGGCACACATAAGCACGCGTTGTGTCACACCATTTATAAATATTTCATTCTAAACAGCTTTAGGGATATGGATGTCAGCGATATCAGGCGTTTGTTCTAGTTGCTTATAGAAGGCAAAGCGCGCAGTACGGCGCATGCAGTTAGCAACTCTATCGACACGCATGATCGCATTCATCTAATTTGCTTAAACAAAACATTCTACCGTAGGGCTATATTTTACAAGCAAGGATTCTGACACATCAACATGCAGCAGATGCTTTACAAAAGTTGCGTGTAAGGGGGAAGCATGTCAAACTTACGAAACATGAGGGCTCATGGAATCAACTTAAAGGTGAAGAATGCACTTTTGCTCTTTGACAGCTTGTGACATCTCCTGGCATTTTCAGTGAGTATGTTTACATGGTCACCAATACTCTAATTTTAATAAGATTAAGACAGTAGTCTGATCAAGAGTCTACCACGTAAACGGTGATTTTTGGTTATCTTAAAGGACCACAGACACAAACTGCAGAGGAAACATTTATAGGCTGGTACAATGACGTTAATGGATCTTTGTGCCATAACATGTAACTGGGAATCTTGAATGTAACAATTAAAAAGCAGCTCATGTAAATCATATTATTGTCTTATTCAGATTAAAGCAAATCAGTAGATCGCTGATGTCCAAGTAAAAGTAGTCACAAGTCACAAATATATATTTATATTGTTCAATTATAATGATTAAAATTATATATTTTTTTTTGTCAAATAGTTTTGTGGCTAAAAAGTATCGGTTCAAGCACCGTTTTGGCACCGGTACCATTTTAAAAGCATCAATATAGCACTGATAAGTTACCCAACCCTAATGATTGTAGTTTTGTAGTTTGTAATCACAACTTTGTCTTTTAGACCAATTTGCTCACAATTCTTTGCATCAAATCAAAGTTTGTAATGTTGAAATTCACTTCAAAGCTGGTTAATTTGGCTGATTTTATGGTTTATAATGCTTTAACAAGAAAATACTTTTTTAATCACTATGGGGAAAACTTAATCTGCAAAATACTTCCTGAAAAAGTCACTCTGGACTGTAAATTTCAGGTCCAGATCTGTAAGAAGCAAGGGTCTTTTCCTAACCATGGGCTATTCTGGTGTTCACAATTATGAAAGTATTTTAACAAGAAATAAAATATAAGAGGAAAGGGATTATGCCGGGATTTTACAGAGGATAAGAGGGAGATCCAGACTCATTTACGAGAGACTTGTGAAATATAAACAATAAAATGTTTCCCTTAAGTTTCTGCTCTTATACCTCCTGTATTGTTTCACTGTATGTGCCTGAGCGCACCACTGGGTTCTTGGATCATAAAAAGCACAGGTGTCAACAACCTGTACACTCAGGGCCAGAGTGGGACTCTTTTTCAGCCCTGGAGTTTTAAGCCTCAGACCGGCCCACCTCAGTTCACGACTGACTATATTAAAATAAGGTCATTTACAATTCAGTTTCTAATTACACTATCACGTCTTTTTTTGAGAAAACAGCTGCTTTAGAACTTTAAATGTTCAACAACCCTAACAGTATTATATGTCTTAACAATAAAAATAAAAAATTTACATACTAAGACAAGGATCAAACCCAGGTCAGCGGTGTCATATACTAGTGTGCTAACCACTGGACCACAACAGTTGTATATTGCATTGTGACCCATCTAAGTTATATCATCAGTAATCTGCAGGCCGGTTATATATAAAAAGAGCAGAGCTGCGGTAAAATAATGAATAAGAAGACTGTGGTCAAGTAAATAAATAAATTAATTTAAAAAGAGTGACTGCTGAAAGCAACAGATTCTGGAGCTAGGGACACTGGCCCTCGCGGCCAAAAAACAGACCGGTCCACCGGTAATTCTCCCGGTCCTCCCGATTAGCCAATCCGGGCCTGTGTACACTCAAAAAATGACTTTTGGTGCTTGTTCAAACTAATTATTTAAAATGAGTTGAGACAATGCAATTCTTAGTTTTTTTTTAGGGGGACAACTTAAATGTTTTATGTTCAGTCCACTTAAATTTGTAAAAACAATGAAGTTAACTTAATCGAGTTGTGTACGAACATAAAGGAATGGTGTGGAACCTGGCAACTTTTTTTTTTTTTTACAGTGAATGAAAATCACAAAAAACATTCCATGAACTCTCAAATACTATGTACTATGGTATGTTAAATACAGCTATTTGCTTCAGCGAAGCTACAATACATATTCCTCTTGAATTATCTACATATCTTGCTCGAATTATCATATAATCAAATAGTTACATCAATATCCTCATTGTGTAAAAAGTATTTTTGTCCACAGTTAATTATGTCTTTAGTGAGGGGTGGAAGAAAAAAAGGAAGAATTGTATTTTCTTCCTCTTTGTATTTTTATATCAGTATGATGAAATCAAGGAGACAAACAATTAGGTCAAATGTACTCTAAAAGTAATCAGAAATGTAGACAGACTTCATTACTTAAAATGTGTACATTGGCCGAGAAAGCTTAACATGCTGTAATTTAAGAAAACACATGAAATTACAAAAAAACACCAGCAAATTAAGAAAAGATTCTCATCGTTTGACAGCATACGTGTTGCAAATCCTCATTAAAAAAAATGTAAAAAAAAAAAAGTAAAAACTTTTATTTTCTGCAAGTAACACGAAACTTAAATAACACAAAACCCAATGTAAATGTTTCAAGAGGACTTTAAACTGTGACGGACCTGACTATTTAGGTTTGGTTATTTAAGCTAATAATATACAAAAGAAAAGGGAATCATGTGATCAAGGTTTTAAAAAACTCACCTTTCAAAGATCACCTACAGGGGTCCTGAATGTTCGGAGTCCTGCAGATTTTAGCTCCAACCCCAATAAGACATACCTGGACTAGCCAATCAAGCTCTCTCTAGGTTTTCTAGAAACATCCTTGCAGGTGTGTTGAGGCAAGTTAAGGCCATTGCACACTGTGAGATTTTTTATAATCGTGAACAATTGTAGCATGTCAGACTGCATGAACATGGCTCTCATGTCACACTCTAAGATCTCAGCTGTCATAAAGTCAGACTGAACGACAAAGAAGACGCGCCAAACACAATAGAAAATGCCCCTGGAGTTTGACGTCATCCAAGCGTGACACATTCACTATCCCGTGTTCTGAAATGATTCCTTACACCAAATGTGAACAATCTGTAGCAGCAATTCTGCACAGTGTCTCAATAATAAACCCAGAATGAAAAAAAACTGACATTTTAACAATTCCTCATGGTTATTTGAATTGGCGCATGAATTGCGTCATCAAAATCGAAACTCCTATAAACCTTTTTTTTAGAACGCAAAATTACCCATTATGCTTTGCGTGTATGCGCAAGGAGAATGCTAAGAACTTCCGGTCGGCATCTAATGCGTATAAACAGACAACAAACACATTTGGGAGCTTTGAAAAGAAAGAAAAGTTTTAATCTGTTTTACCTGCTTTTATCATCTTCAAACTAATCCTGTTGTCGATCAGCACCACCTCCTGGACTGATCATTAAAAAAAAAAGGATGGAAAACAACTGCTGTGAGGCATTTTTCCCTCGTTGACAGAGGACATCTTCTGCTGTTTAAATGAAGCCTCGTCATCGCTAAATTTTATTTCAAATATATAACCAACCTAAACAAATGTAATTCACCAAAATGTTTGACACACACATGTAGCCTCCTGTACTGTCCCACTAACACATTGAATAATTGTCACAAATTGAAAATAAGGTGACGTTTTGAAATGACAGAAAAACACAAACCCTGGTAAATACAACACACTAAATGAAACATAAATGGCTCGTGATTAGAATCAACAGCAAATCAGCCCCGCAGAGTATCAATAACACACTTTTATTGGTCATTTTTGTAAATTGCAAGACTTACATACCTGTTAGGTTTCATGCCAGTAATCTGGTTTGCTCTATGTTGCAGTGTGTGTGTGTGTGTGTGTGTGTGTGTGTGTGTGTGTGTGTGTGTGTGTGTGTGTGTGTATGTGTGTGTATATTGAAGAGCCGTTGAGCTAACAGCTGACAGGCTGGGAACACACACACACACACACACACACACACACACACACACACACACACACTGTATTTCTTACCGGCAGACACGTGAACTAGGACGTTTTTCTCTCGCGCTTGGACCACATCTGACAGATTATAACGGCTTTAACACGCATCTTTCAACGTTGTGTCACAAAAACACTCTGTAATCCACTCAAAACACTATTGAAACTCATTTTCGGAGCACAAATTACTAGTTGTAAACGCTGTAAATGAAAGTTCTAAACATTCTACGGGAAGACTCTGGTCACTATAGTGCCTTCCATGCAGCCAAGAAAAAGGTCAATTAGTTCTTGGATTGACGCTCATGGCTGCTGTTGTCACACTGCAAGAAAGTTTATGAAATCTTCTGGCATTGCCAGAACTTTATCGGAGGAAAAATCTAATCACAACGGGCATTAAGCGGCTGTCTGTGAACATGTCAAACCAACGATCAAAGAATCCAGATTTTAGCCTAGGATTTCAGGAATCTTTTAGGATTTCCCAAATGTGTCTTAGAAGACAAAATCCTGGCTAAAATCTCACAGTGTGAGCAGTGCTTTAAAGGTAAAATCTGTAGGACACCAGACCTCCAGGACCGAGATTGAGAACCCCTGACCTACAACTGAACAATAGTAAAACATCACCCCTTAAAACATTTGTTTCTGAGGGTTTAATTTCAGCATGTTAAGCTCTCTTGGCCACCAATATTATGTTACTAATGACAATTTGATAATCATGCAACCTGTATGAACTACAGTTATCTAACAAACAATGTGACACTGAAAACATCAACATAGGACTGATTTATAGAAGAAATTTCAAGGGATTCTTATTTTTAATCTAATCGAATACAAAGAAGACACGTATTTTTCATATTTTACTACTGTAAGTCTGTTTTCTTTAAAGCAATCTACTGTATTAAGTGATATATACATATACAATAGGACTTTACAGTATAAATCATGACACAATATATATAATAAACTGCTGCTGGTTTTTCAAGTATTTTTACCCATAAACAAAGAACAAAAAGGTGTTTGCTCAAATATAGAAGAGTTTTACCATTTTCTCATCCACCGTAAAGCCAATGGCTTTGGGCTCTGCTGAAACTACAGTGAGGTGTTTTTCAGAAAACATCAATTAAACACAGATGTGATGTGCATGATCTTCATACCTCTTTCTGCTCTCCCCGTTGAATGTGACTCTGAGTCCTCGCTCTTAGACGCTTTGTAGTATGTGATCCCCCTGATGACCCCCGTTTGGTGCACTGAGGTCTTGGTTTTGGTGGTGGGGTCTGGCTTCGCAGGTTTTGCTGCTTTGGCGGGAGCCTCTTTCTTGGGCTTGACAGGTTTTTCTTTAGGCTGTTTGGGTGGAGGTTTAACAGCTGGGGGTTTCTTGTTGGGTGGTTTTATGGCCTCCTTGGACTTTTTACTCTCAGTGCCCTGGAATTATAGAGGTTTGATTTACAGCTCTTGTCTTATGCCGAGTTCAGACTGCATGATTTTCAAAGTAGTTGTGTCACGGATGTTTTCACACTGCATGATTATCTGGGGTTAGCGTTCTGTCGGTGCTGTGTTTACACAGTAGGATTATTGGTGACATGAGAGTTCACACTGCATGACTTTAAAATAAGAAGAATTACAGACAACTTTGTCCGAACTACGTCTCACAATCAAACAAACGCCTGAGCCCGGTTTCTCAAAAGTAATCCACTAGGATTTTGGATAACGGAAAGGTGGATTTAGCGTGGATTTCATGCCCAAAATGTTATGAAAATTTTACAAATGTATAAATTAATATGCAGTATCTTACAAGGTGACTTACAAGTTATCCTATTTATTCATGAGGTTTTAATTGTATTTGTTCATCTGTCAGGCTGCAGTGATTAGGTAGGCTTTAACGTATTCAGCATTTTAGTATAGGCCTACAGCAAAGTAGAAAGAGTTTGGCCTCATAAAATAATCCCCCAAACAGCTGTCAAAACTGATCAAAACAATTAATTTTTATTGATATATATTCATCATAATGGAAAATAATTTTCATTTTAGAATATATACTAGTGATGCATGCAATAATTACAAAATAATCAATAAATGCAAATAATGGCAATACCTGATTTTTCAAATCACTTTCAACAATTGCAAAAAGAGACTGAAAGTGCAGAAGCACAGCTTCATCTGGCAGAGAAACAACTGACTCCAACCAAACTGCAGCAAACCAAGGCCAGACTTGAGATCCTAAAGGCTACGCTCAGACAAGCTGGTCTTTCCACATCAGATGAGGAATTCTGAAACTATTGTGAAGTTTTTGAAAAAGTCTTGTTATTTTAAATTCAATACATCTATATTTGAAACGTGTTTTAAATATCCTCAATGTACAGTGTTTGTGTTGTAGATCTCTGATGAGCGAACAACTGAAATAGGATGGGGTGGGGTTTTTCTTGTTTTTAGATTTTTTTTTTCTTTTTCATGTGTGAGTTTTCATTTCAAATATAAAATGAAGTTATATTGACCCCCACACTGGCTATTATTCTTGTTGCTCTTCACATATCTATAGTTCTACATTGTGATTTCCTATCCTGTTTGAGCACTGGTTATCCAGATTTAGTGATCCTGAAAAGTTCCTATGTGGATCAGATTGATCCAATCCGATGTTGTTTTGAAAAACTGGCTCAAAAAGTAAGCTGGATAAGGTGATCACGAATCGCAAAAAAAGGATTACTAAATACAGATCCATTTGATTCGGAATAAACCTTTTGAAAAACCGGGCCCTGAAGTGACATGGAAACAACGCGAGGTCACATAATGTATCTTTCGTTATTAACAACATAATGGAAAAAGAAGGCTTTAGCTTTAGAAAATTGTGTTGCTCACCTGGCTTTTGAAGAAAATTAGCAATTTCTCCACAACTTTTTTTACTTTTCGACCTGATTGTGATATTGATTGAATGACATGTCAAACAGACACAGTGCTCCTGCCAAATTTACACTAGTTTTTCCGCCATATCTTGGGTCCAAATAAACTGAAAATGAGCACTTTTAACTTCTTCCCCAGCCTCCCGCTGGCCTGCAGGTACCTGTACTAGTGAATGCTGCCCTCTAATTGGCTGTAGGGGTTCGCGGATGTTATTTTCAATCAGAATACATTTCACATGACATGATTTGAATATCTGATGGGCGTCAGCAACTCATCGGCGATTCTCTCATGTTCTCTCATGAGTCATTGATAGTTCACACTGTGTGATTGTCACTTACGTGAACGAGCACTGATTTGCCTGTGTTTTCAGACATTTGTCAGCGATTTCTCAAAAACGTGTCAGTCTGAACTCAGCAGTATGCAGTTGTGTGTGTGTGTGTGTGTGTGTGTGTGTGTGTGTGTGTGTGTGTGTGTGTGTGTGTGTGTGTACTGGATTTGGTGTGTACTGGATTTGGACATGTTAAAAACGACTCTGGTAAAAGTTGAAGTACTGACTACACTTTTGTAATTAAGTAAAAGTAAAGAAGTACTGCCTCAAAACTTGACAAAAGTAAAAAAGTACCCGTTTCAACCACAGTCCCAAAGCGGTATAGGTGAATAATAATACAACTAAACTGGCAGTGTATAAGTGTGAATGTGAGTGTATATAGGTGTTTCCTAGCACTGGGTTTCAGATGGAAGGGTATCCGCTGTGTAAAACATATGCTGGAATAATTATATTTTTATTCATAAATCACCCAGTATACTTACATTTGTTGTTGAAAAATATTTCTTAAAAACATATGAATTAAGGACAACAGTATAGGCCTATTTAAAATCAATAGGCAACTTGAAAAATCAATAAAAACTGCATAAATTACGTATTAGGAAATGTGAACTTCAGAAATCAAAGGAATAAACCGTGTAGAAAGTACAGATATTTGTGTAAAAGTGTAAGGAGTCAAAGTAAAAAGTAAAAAAAAAAACAAGTAGTGGAGTAAAGTACTGATACCAGAAAAATCTACTTAAGTTTAGTAACAAAGTATTTGTACTTTGTTACTTCCCACCTCTGGACATTTTACTTTACTATAGTATGGTTAAAAAAAAACAAAAAAAATACTAGAAATTACTATGCACTACCTGACAAATGTCTTGTCGCCGATCCAAGTTTTAGGAACAACAAATAATAACTTGACTTTTAGTTGATCATTTGGTTTCAGAAGTGGCTTATATGGAAGACAAAGGCCTCTAGATTGCACGTATTTTACCAAAATAAAATATGATCATGTCTTGATTTTTAATTATTTAATTAGGACAGTGAGGTCTGACTTGGCTTAGACAAAAGTCTTGTCACTTAACAAGAAAACAGAATGACACCCATGAGCTTGGAGGACTGCATCCATACATTTCTGCAATGAATCAAATAACGTATTAATAAAGTCATCTGAAATGGTAATGAAAGCGTTATTGCCGGACTCCCAGAGTTTATCAAGATTCTTTGGTGCATCTTCAATGACTCATTCATCTTATCCCAAACATGCTAAATAATGTTCATTCTATCAACTGGGCTGGCCAATCCTGAAATACCTTGACCTTCTTTGCTTTCAGGAACTTTGATGTGGAGGCTGAACTATGACAAGTAGTGCTATCCTGCTATTGCTTGTACTTGATTGAAACTTTTGGCAACTCTACCCATTGTTGTGTTTAAGAAAGTGTGTTACCTGTGCTTTACTGTCTGAGGCGGCGTCTTTCTGCAACAGCTGTAGTCCCAGGCTGGAGATCTCTTTCTTGATGCTCACCATGATGTCAGAATAGTTCTCATATCGCTTCAGCTGATTGGACAGGTTTACTACGCTGTCTCTCACAAACTCATTTTCCCTGGTGAGATTTGTTTTTATGGTCTAGGAAGAGAATATCAAGACAGTGTCAAACTTCTAGCAATTTTTTTTTTTAAATGGATGTTTCTCATTTAAAGGTAGTTCATCCTAAAATGAAAAATATGCCTCATTTACTCACTCTTTACCTGTTTCAAAGCAGTTTTTGCTGTTTTGAAGAATGCAGAAAATCTGTAACCATTGATGTCCATATGAAAAAACTATATTAGGAAGTCAATGATCACAGCTTTCAAAACTTCTTCGATATATCTTCTTTTGTCTTCAACAGCAAAAAGAAATCAAACTGGTCTGGAACAAGTTGAGTAAATGATGACAGAATTTTAATTTTTGTGTGAACTGTCCCTTGAAGTCTGATCAATCAGCTGATTACCTCTTCTAATGTGTTCATCTGAGACACAACTTTGTTCATGTAGGCATGAACCTTCATCAGATCCATACTGTATAATGTTCCTTCCAGCAAATCCACCATGGAATGGAGCTACACAGAATAATAAAACAAAATATATTTTATTTGAATCCACACATACATACATACTTATAGATCTTATGCTGCATACATTTTGGCTTTTACACTGTATATGGCACCTGAATTTAGTTTTGGGAAAATGGACAGTTATTTTTCTTTCTCACAGTCCCACAAAATTTCTTTGGCCCAGCTCTGGCCCACAAAATTAGGTTTTGCTTGGCCCACATGCCGCAGTGAATTACGGTACATGACTGGACCAAATCTGGCTTCCAGACAAGGGCCAAACACGGACCATATCTGGGCCAAGTTTCAGCCAAGATAATAACTCATAACTGGGCCTGAACTGGGCCAGATAGGTTGGTGTGTCAGGATTGCAATGAAATTGATAAACCCATGGAGTGATGCGCTTTAGGCACACTATGGGCACGCTTTTTCTCAAAGTGACCTGATTGGTAGAATTTTTTTTTCTTTACTCAAAAATGATTTTAGTGTATTTTAAATGTGGGTCAAGACTGGACAAACTCACATGGCCCACTTATCAAATTTTTAAATCTGGGCCAAATACTACGTTTTTCATCTGGCCCAAATCTTGTGTGCCGCCTTAAAGACGGTGCCACCTCTGCCAAACCCGGGCCATGTTTGGCCCACATGCTGTATGCCAGTGCCGGATGAATGCCGGCTGTGCCAGCTTTATGCCAAAACTGGGCCAGAATTCTTTGCTACTAGGGACGTGTATCTCTGGACAGTTTCAGCTGTGTGCTGCTGCTGATTAGCACAGAAATTAACTTTTTTTTTTTCAGTTTGGAAAAGCAAACAAAAAAGCCAAAATGGATTTGTGTTGTAATCGACAGCATATGCGGCATGCTTTCTATTACAACAGAAAATCATTTTGACTCCCGGTAGAGTGATTGTCTTCTGTCACGCCTCAACTACTTTAAAAAAGGAAATTCATAGCTAAACAGCTTACAAGACATCACGTTAAGGTTGGAGTATTATAAAAATAGTTAAAGTAAGGCCTGATAATCTTTTATGGCTGGAGTATATTAGAAGATTGCAAATTAAGACATGAACACCTTATAAAATACATTTTATATAATTGGAATTTTATCATAAAATACCATTCTAAAATGTAAAAATATACTTTAGGAAGGAATATTTTAGACATTTACAAATAATTGCTGAACATTCCATCAAATACCAAGTTAAACCCTATATAGTCAATGAATAAAAGTAAAGTGATAAGTAGTATACATAGTCAATGGTGTTATATCTTAAAATATTATACCTTTAAAAAATGCCAAATTACACCATGAACCTATTTATATGTGAAAATATGTAAAATGAATGAAGGTTTAAGAAAGCAAAGTAACTCCTGAATTATTTACAAAATCCCAAAATGAAGTCAAAAAACTAATTGTAATGCACACTGCAAAACAAAGCTACAAAATGTAATAGTAAGGCAAGAAGGTCTAAAAATATGGTAAATTACAGCTCTTAACATTGCAAAAATGTAAAACATAGACCTAAACGTCTTATAAACACTCTGATAAAAAGTCTGATAATCTAAGCAATGTAAAAACAAGGCCTGAATATCTTATAGAATACCAAATAAATGCATGGAAATTGTGTAAATTGATACATTATATCCATCATAGACATTATCTTTTTCAAATAAAGCTAAGACCTGAACGTCTTATAAAAAAAAGCCAAATTAAGATCTAAATATTTTCACAAAAAAAAAAAAAAAAAAAAACATCAGAGTCCTAAACTTCTAAAGGAAGTACAAGCAAAGGGTCAACATCTTACAAATGACAAATTATTCAGTAAATTAAAGCCCGAGCATCTAAAAAAACATTCTAAAAAAGACATAGAAGCCTTAGAGGGACAGTTCATCCCACAAAAGTCATTATTTACTCACACTTTTTATCTTCTGTTGAATACAAAAGAAGATATTGTGAATAAACCAATAAACTGATAACCATTGACTTCCGTAGTATTTGTCTTTCCTACTATAGAAGCCAATGGTTTCCGGTTTTCACCTTAAATATCTTCGTTTGTGTTTAAAAAAAAGAAAAAGGTTGGAAAAGGTTTGGAACCATTTGATGTGAGTAGATAGTGAGTACATTTTTATTTCTGGGTGAACTATCCCTTTAAAAATGCCAAATTGTGCCTAAACACTATAAAAATATCAAAGTACTAAACTCAACATCTAAAAAAGGTAAAAGTAAAGCCTGAAAACCTTAAAAAGGTCTGAACCTCTTGCCAAATTATAGCTTGTGAACATCTTACATCATGTCTACATTGAGTTAAATAATGTCCCACTGTGCCACATCAAGTCAAACTGAGCATTCCGGATTCATTACTAATAATGTCAGAAGCAGCGCAAGCATGTGGACTACATTAGATATTATACAATGGAGCATAATCAATGCAGACAGACATTGCACTGATTTTAATGACTTATATTTGATTGCGTCAGTGCAGGCAGAGAACATTCCTAATTATAAATCTTATTTCATATGAGCATTAGAACACACAATATAATTTAAAAATAGCAGTTTTTTTTTTTACCTTGAGTAGTTCAGGGGCTTGTTTCCTGAGCTTTTCCGTTCTCCACTCATTCTCACAGGGGTTGAGTGAGGACGGAGGAGCCGTGCAGGAACACTTGCAATCAGAACCAGAGCTCACCGTCTCCACTGTGTAGAAATCATCCACCCGCAAGCTTCCGTCACGGAGTCTAGAGCAGGCCTCGATACTCAATGGTCTCATCACACACTTGCAGCGGCAGTCGGAGCCCTCAGATATCATCTTTACTGGCTCCGGCTCACCAAAGATCTGAACACGAGAGAGACAAAAGAATATAGAAGAGCTTCCATTGCTTGAAAGTTTTGGGTTACATCAAATTATTTTGTATTTATTTGTAACCTAATCATATGATGTTTTTTGCTAATTATGCTGAATTTTTTTTTTTTTTTTTGTAATTTATTCATGTGCTGGCAAAACGTCTTTTTTTACTTTATTGTCACAAGATGAACAAACTTCCTGATTCAGTGCTTAAAGGTGCAACAGGTGATTGACTTCAAAAACAATTTTTGTTATTCTGGCTGTAATTGTATTTAATTGTGTTTTAATTATCTGTGGACGGTGTAGGATCAAGAAAAGATTGTATCCCCATGTCAAAATATGTAATTGCACATCTCTGCATACCTTGTTTGCAAAGAAAGGCATGTTCACATATGCGGCTCAAACAGAATATGGCAGACAAACATCAACAACCTACCTTCTTTTTTAGGGTTTGCTATTGTAATAACTAACTGTACTAAAACGTTTTCTCTCTGGAGAATTTTACATGGTGTATTGTATTGATGTTGTCCAGTGCACGAAATCAATACAATACAACATTGTTGTCTAGCACGCAACATCAATATAAGTTTTATTATGTTGATGTTGCGCACTAGACAATAACGTTGTATTATACAACGTTATTGTCTAGTGCGCAACATCAATACAATATAACATCGTTGTCTAGTGCGCAACAACTATACAACATCGATATCTAGTGCACAACATCAATACAATACAACATTGTTGTCAAGTGCGCAACATCAATACAAACCAACAGCATTGTCTAGTGCTCAATATTAATTCAATACAACATCACTGTGTAGTGCATAGCATCAAAACAATACAACAACGTTGTCTAGTACGCAACAATACAATACAACATCCTTGTCAATTGCGCAACATCAATACAATACAACATTGTTGTCTAGTACGCAACAACTATACAATACAACACCATTGTCTAATGAGCAATATCAATACAATACAATATCGCTGTGAAGTGCGCAACATCAATACAATACAACATCATTGTCTAGTGCGCAACAATACAATACATCATCCTTGTCTATTGCGTAACATCAATACAATACAACATCATTGTCTAGTGCGCAACAATACAATACATCATCCTTGTCAATTGCGCAACATCAATACAATACAACATCATTGTTTAGTGCGCAACAATACAATATAACGTCCTTGTCTATTGCGCAACATCAAGACAATACAACATGGTTGTCTAGTGCGCAATATCAATACAATACAACAGCATTGTCTAGTGCGCAACAATACAATAAAACATTCTTGTTTAGTGCGTAACATCAATACAATACAACATTGTTGTCTAGTGTGCAACAACTATACAATGTAACAGCATTTTCTAATGAGCAATATTAATACAACACAATATCGTTGTGTAGTGCGCAACATCAATACAATACAACATCATTGTCTAGTGCGCAACAATACAATACAGCATCCTTGTCTATTGCGCAACATCAAGACAACACAACATGATTGTCTAGTTATCAATATCAATACAATACAACAGTATTATCTAGTGAACAACATCAATACAATACAACAACATTGTCTAGTGCGCAACATCAAAACACTATAACTTCATTGTCTAGTGCGCAAAATCAATACAAAACAACAGCATATATTTTATTATTTTTAACACATATATACAGTAGTTATCCGGTGGCACAGAGTTAGACATCTTTCTTGACTTCACACAATAACAGCAACGTGCACTGCATGACATCACTTTGTTGCAGAGACGCTATTGGTTAAATGCCAGCAAAGTATAACACGGAAGCAGCCTGAAGCGGAAGGCGTGAGTATGTCTGCGGTTTGGAGGTATTATAACGTTCATTGCCTTTGCCAACATTGCTTTTGCCAACATTGAGATATGTAAACTTGAAATTGCAAGAGGTGGAAAGGAAAAGGCTACATTTAACACAACAAACCTGATAGGACACCTCAAAAACAGATGTAAAACCTCGCTTTGAAATGCCTTCTCGCCACTATTTCACAGAGAACGGTCTGCCAGCCCTTTATAAAAAGATTTCTAACAAACTACTTGTTATAAGATGTTCTATGTTTCGTTCACCACAGACACAGGGAATTGGTCTGCAGCTCCCATGTCTCTACTAAGCCTTAACCCACAATGGATTGACTCCATCCTGGATCTGTTTCTTCGCTCTTCTTTTTTTTTTTTTTTTTATGTATTATAGAAGTATTGGATCAGGATTTGGTATCGGTGGATAATCAAAATCAAGTGACTCCAACTCAGACACAAGGGCAAAAAAACAAACAAAAAAAAAACGGATCGGGACATCCCTAAATTCAATATTGTTGTCTAGTGTGCAACATTTCAATACAACATCATTGTCTAGTGAGCAATATCAATACAATACAACATCTTTGTCTAGTGATCAACATCAATACAATAATGCTGTCAGGGATCTGATCAAGGCAAACAGAAGACAGTCCTTCACAGTTTATTCAAATATAAGCAAAATAGCAAACTCAGAGGGGAAAAAGGTTCTTCAACAAAAACAGCTCCGAAGAGGAAAATTAGATGTTCAATAACTTCAGTATGGAGGATTCTCAAAAACTTCCAGAGGGAAAAAAACAAATGCTGTCTCGTGAGCAACATCAATACAATACAACATTGTTGTCTTGTGAGCAAATTCATACAATTCTGGATTTCAACTCTGAAACTAGACTGAAGCAGTTTAAATTTAATAGAACTTCTTTTATGTTAAGCTGCTTTGAATATATATTGTAAAAGTGCTATAGAAATAAAGAATGAATTGAAATATGGCTTTCGGTGCTATCAGGCTAGCATTAGCATTTTCCAAGATCTCCTCTTGCACCAATGGTTTTTATTAAAACAGATGATTTTTTAAAACCAACAAACAAAACACATGTAACATTATAAATCTTTTAAACAATTGACAGTAATGTGGCCTTGCTGAACAAATGTTCGCAACCATTTAAACAGCTTGGTTTTAAACGACAGTCACATACAATTTAGCATTTACACGTATTGAATTATGTAAAGTATAATATTTCAAATAACTCTTGACATGAAGATCAAACTAAATCCTTCAAACTGCCATGGGAGTGACATGAAATACTACTGGAAACTTAACCCTTTCATGTCTCTCTTCAATCATCAGATTTAAGCCACTCTGCGCTTCAGGATATGAAAGCTGCTAATTTACCTTGAACACTAAAACAGATTTGAACCCTGATGCTCTGGAAGTGATCAACCGTTGCACTTTCAACCGCTGCAGTGAAACTTTACCGTTCCCTATAACATGTGTCCACAATTTGAACTTTCTACCAATCCTTCATTACTTCTACTTTACAAATCTATGGCATTTCACATCCATTTAAAGCCTTATCTTCAATTTCGAGATACACAAACCCTACAAATATCTATCTGTGTCTACATTTTAGAACTCAAGACCATTACCTTTTGATAAGATATACATAAACTCTACCAAACTAAACTTTTTCTTGACAGATCTGTGGCATTTCACATCCATTTAAAACCTTATCTACAATTCCAATACACAAAAATCTATCTACATTTTATGAATCAAGATCACTACCTTTGGAGAAGATACAGAAAACAACTCTTTCTTTCTCTCACGCACACATCTGTTGTCAGTTACTGCTAGCTTTTTTACCATGGCACTGGCTTTGAAGACAGCCCGGGGCTCGAGATTCCCATAAATTCAGCCCAGTGATGAATCCTGAGTGGATTTGCACCTTCTCCCATAAACAACTTGTTTTCAAGCCACATCCTGCAGCACCTCGCAGTTTGACAGTACATCTCTTATTTCTCAATAACAGCCTTGCATGACATCCAGGGAGATACATGTGAATATCATTTACAGGGTATGTATTTGCGCCATAAAGCAATAATTGGACTGATACGAAGCTTCATAAAAGCCAGGTGCTGTTGAATATGGAGACAGTCCGTATATGGGGATGTCGCCACATGTGCTTCAAAAAGCCTTCGTAATGCCTACTTGACGCTGACAGCACTAATAAATCGAGCTTCATGAACAGTAGCAGTAAAAGCGAAGAGAATATGTGGAGCCACAGGGGTTGAACCCACAGACTGGACAAATGCAGAATGACGGCATATACGATTAAGGAAGAAGTAGTAAATGATGCACAGATGTTCAGCTTTTTTTTCTCTCTCTCTGCCAAAATAACTTGCTGCTGTTGAGGGTGTACTGAAGACAGGGCTGGAGAAATGATCTGAAAAGCTTCAATACATAGTATGATTGGCTTATGAATATGAATTTTAAGGCATAACACAACCCAGCTCAACTCGATTTGATTTATATAGTACCAATGAAAACGATTGTTGTGCAAGGTGCTGTACAATCAAGCAAATATTGACAACAATAACGCCATGAGCAACATAAATTATCTGAAATAGCAGAATTAACAACAAATTAAATGCAAGCCAGTAAAAAAAGTAAGGATTTTGTGAAATCAGAAGGTTGTTCAAGAGTTTCAGAGCAGGAACAGCAAGGGTTTAGTTGCCTCGAGACTTTAATTTAGCAAGAGGATTGTTTAATAGTTACTGGTTGGATGACCTGGGGCCTGTTTCAGAAAGCAGGTTAAGTTAAAACTCAGAGTAGTTTAACCCTGAAATGAGAGAAACTCTGGGTTTTCCGTTTCAAAATGGCAGGTTTGTTAAACTGGAGAAAGCAGGGTAAGTCAAGCCTGTTTCTAAAAGAGAGTTAACTTTAACTCAGAGTCAGTTACCGTGGTAACTTACTCTGTGAATCTAACCTGGTCTGGAGCAGGTTTTATTCTCTAAACTCTGAGTTTCTGTCGGTCTCCTCCCCTTTTTTAAAGATGAAGCGGTATTTCTCGCATTAGTCTTACATTTCCACACACCTATTTTAGAGCTCATTTTGGAGATGCGCATAAAAAAGATTGATGGAAACGTC